CTCTTCCTCTTCACCACCGCCTCGACCGAGGGCGCTGTGCTTGGTTACAACGCCGTAACGGCGTTGACTCAAAACATTATGTACGGAACGTTGTACTGCCTTACTCCGGAGCTTTTCCCTGCTCCGCATCGAGGAACAGGCGATGGAATCGCTGCTGCGCTCAACCGTATCTTCGGAGCGATGGCTCCCATCATCGGAATCTACGCGGGCGGCACTGCGCCGCTTTACGTGGCTGCTTCGCTCTTCCTTCTGTCGGGAGTCCTCTCCTTCCTCATCCCTCTCGACTCGCGCGGCAAGAGTGCGCTTTAATCGGTGCAACTTGTCTCCTGCGGTCATCTTGCTTCACCAGAATACCATCGCATGCTTCGTGTGTACAGAAATGGAAATACCGTCGATCGCGCCTCGGCTCGGCTTGACAGGTGCGGGGTTTGCAGCGGAAAAAATAAGGCTGTTTGTGGAGAGTTCTAGCACTGCTGACTGAGCCATCCTCGGGTTTCCCTGCTTGTGATCCTGACTCTGATCTCCTCCCTCTGTGGACGCCGAACGTTCCAAGCGCGGACCGTACAGAGCAGCCAAAAGGCCGCCGCTCACAGAGGGAAAAGACCAGAGCCAGCGGCACAAGCCGGAAACCTCTCGGTGTTTGCTCCTTGCATCGCAATTGAGTGCAGGCACACCGGTTGCGGATAGAGTGCGGGCACGCAACACAGCTTCGCTGATCAACAGTTCCGCTCCTGTGCGGCAAGCGTGTCAAGACTCTGATCACGGCTGTGCGTTTAATTTACGGTGACATGCTCTGTACTCCCGCAACACGCTTTTGTTCCTCAGACCCTGTCACACGAAACAGGTGAGGGGAAGATTCAGCTCTGTTGTCCTGTGTTCACGCAAACCGGTCAGGGGTCCCAGAGACCTGAGCGAATCTCGCTGTTCTGGCTCACAGCGAACACACAGATCATTCGAAAGTGTGTGTCAATGCATTCAATTACGACACGCTTATGCTGCGAGCGAGGGGATGGATTGTGGCTGGAATCCCTGCTGGACGGAGTTCTTGAAAGGAGTGCTGATCTCTCCCACATCGGCAAAGTAGGCGAGCGCGAGTTCTCTGGCAGCCGTGAAGGCGGGGTCGACCGCGTTGGCGGACGATTGCTGAACCTCGTCCTTGTTCGGCGTCACCTGACCAAACACCTGGCCGTCGTACTCAAAGTTGAGCGACGCGGGAACAGGCTTGGAGTTGACGGCGGTGGGAAGAATGACAAGGTCGAGAGGCGAGCCCTTGGGAACCGAGCCGCGCGGGAACGAGTCCTTGATCTGGTGGATAGCGAGCTGAAATTCAGACTCGAGCGGGGAGTCGGTCTGCACGCGCGCATCCTTGATGGCCTTCTTGAGGCGATTCTGAAGCGCACGAATGAATCCGTCGCGGAGGTGGTTGAAGTCGGTGTTGCGAACGGGGACGATGCGGATGACAGCGGCGGTGCCGTCGTCGAGCAGTTCCTTGACATTCTGCTCGAGCGTCTTGTCGTTGGAAGCGCGTGTCAAGCGCTCCTGCAGCTTGTTCTCGTCGATGTAAAGAGCAGCGACGTAGACGCGGACGCGGAGGAAGGAAACCGTGCGAACACCCAAGCCCACGAGGCGGAGCTTGGACTGGTCCTGTGCGGATGAGGACTTGAATGACGCGGGCGTTGGAAGATACAGAGGAAAGCCGAGACTGGTGTCGGGATCGACGACGAGCTGCTTGGAAGCGTCCGGCGCGACGCCCGTCAAGGACTTGTCTTGGGCTGCTGGTGCGGCATCCAGCTTGAGAGTATCGGCGTTGGACAGAGAAATCACAGAAGCGGAGAAGCCGAAGAGAAGTGCTAGAGCGGTCGATGCACCTCTCGCGCTGCGCTGCGCGGTACGCGATGATGCTGCCGAGGAGGAAGCGGCAATCGGATGGAATGAGCTGTGGAAGAAGGCCGGCCTTGCTGCGCCTGGTGCCGAGAAAGAAGGCAACGGAGGATAGGACGGCGTAAACGTCGAGAGCTTCCGTGCTGCGACGGAACGAGGCACGACGAGCCGCGCCGCTCGAGAGAGGAGCTGTGTGTTGGATGCGAGCATGATCTTTGATGTTTCGTGAGCGGTCAGACGAACACTAGATGAGTGTGATGGGGAGAGAGACGCAAGCTCGCTGGTGACGGAAGAGCCGAGCCGGTTCTTCCGAGCGGTGAGGCTCGTGCAGCAACGGCCGTGAGAAAAAAGTGGCTAACTGTTAAAGGTAAAAGCACAAAGTCGGCACGGCCGGAGCGCTTTCGGTTAGTTTGGTCAAGGGGCCAGGGTCTCTGCGGCTGGCAGGAGCAAAATCGCACTGATGAGGCGAAGGTGACAGAGCGACAGCACGCGCATGCCAGATAGCGAAATGTGAGGAACGTGAAGCGGTGTTTGTTCGCCTCATGCAGCTGTGGTGAAGTGAACGCGCGCTGCCTCCTGAAGCGAGGAGGTTGATCAGCGCCAGATCAAAAGAGTGGAGGCGCGCCTCTGCGAAACAGCCAACCAACACCTGTCTGCCGCACCGCCAGCACGTTTAGCATCTCGTTGGCTACACGTCCCTCCCGTCCCTCCCTGACTTCACCATCATCGCCTCACAATCGACGCTCAGCCTGGCTTTAATTGCTTGGCCGCTCGCACACCATGCCGACGACGACATCCATGCTCACACCCGAATCCGAACTCCAGCTCTCCTTCGATGCCAGCTTAATACCGCAGGCCAGCAAGGACCTGCTCCCCGCCGATATCGTCGTGCGCCCGCTCGCCAGCGACGACTACAACCGCGGCCACCTGCGCGTCCTTTCCGACCTCACACAAGCACCCGACGTCGGTCTGGCTGCATGGTCGAAGCAATTTGCGCTCCAGCTCGCCGCTCCCAACACCTACTATCCTATCGTCTTCATCAACACTTCGACTGACCAGATCGTTGCCTGTGGCACGGTCTTTGTGGAGTACAAGTTCCTTCGCAGTGCTGGCCTCTGTGGCCACATTGAAGACATTGTCGTACACAATGACGGCCAAGGAAAGGGCCTGGGCAAGCGCATCATCGAAATCCTGACCCACATCGCAAAGGAGCGTGGCTGCTACAAGGTCATCCTCGACTGCAGCGAAAAGAACGTGCCCTTCTACGAAAAGTGCGGCTACCACAAGGCAGGAGAGCAGATGGCCATCTACTACGTCTAACGCAGTCGCGCACCTCATACGTGTCGGCTCACTCCTCTTGCAGCATTCCAATGGACAATCGCTTTGCTCTGTGCTGAGTTTGGCATGCCTGTGCGTTCGGCAGTCTATGGCGGATCTGTCACGAGACTGGCCGAGCTGGTCTACTCTTTCCAACGGCCCACCTCGACCTCGCACAACTCCTCGAGGCCGACCAAACTCTGTGAGCCTCTCGTTTCGAGGTGCGGAAGGCTGATCCACGCCTCGTACGCTTGACGGCGAGCCTTGCTTGTCCACTGTTGCGCTTCGCTCGTGTCTCGCGCTTTCGTTGATGCCGGTCGTTCCCCTGACTGGATCAGCGTCGGCACAAGAAGATCCAGGTGTTGCGTCGACACCCGATACTGTGATGTCAAATCGACCACCCGCTCGACTGCGACAAGAAGTTGTTTTGAACAGAGCAGATTGTCAGTGCGATGTCCGTGATAACGTCGGACAACAGTCAACTTACCGAAGCGCTCGAGTGACCAAGAGGCCCAGAGGGATTCTTGAAATGCAAACTCAAGTCCCTTGCGCTGTGCGGCTTCTTCGAGCAGGCTGCGCAGCGAATCACTTGCTGTGGTCAGCTTGGCCAGCGCTTTGTTCTGTCAAGTCCAAATTCACTCGCCGTGTCAGTCGCCTGCTCGCATCTTAAAATTGTCATGCAGTCACTCGGAGGTTGAGCTTACCAATCGATCCAAGACCACCGTGAGTCCGTCGTGAGCTGCCTCAATACGAGCAGTCGCATCCGCTATATGCGATTCTTTCAATCCGCCTGGCCCGTCCACCGGATCATGGGCTTGCTTGGGATCCAGAGCCATCACCCTCTTCGTGTCTTGTGTCCTTGAGCTCACCGTCGTCGGACCTTTGGCCTTCCGAACAGATGCCGTAGCATCTTTGTTGAGCCTTGTCGCAGCGTGAAACGCCTCCCATCCATCCACAGCTTCTTTCGCCCATTTGAGTCCATCAAACGTGGCGATCTCTTCCCACATCCTGGCCGCTGCCACAAATGCAGTCAGCAACGTCCGGCATTGTCGATGATAGGTTGTTTCGAAGTCTCTACTAAGGAGTCCTGTCGAGTCGTACATCGAGGGAGTCGCTCCCCCGAGCAAGATGTTGGCTCCACTGCCTCCTGGAGTCGACGGTGAGCCGAAGCGATTTGAGGGCTGGGGAGACGCACGTGAAGAGGAAGATAGCGAGATGCTCCTGTTTCCTCCGCCTCCACCTCCATTCCCTCCCGCAACTCCAAGCGACTTGTTCGCTTTCGGAGTTGATGGCGCTGGCTTGCCGCTCGGTGTCGAGGATCCCGAAGGTCGTGGTGGGGTTCCTGCCTTACCGGCCTTGGCGAGCAGGGCTGCGTTTTGGCTGTTCCTTCCGAACGGAGACATGGCGGCCGCTGACGGCCTATTTGGAGCGGGAGAAGGCATCTTGCGCCTGTGATTGGAGACTCGTGCCCAACGTCCGCCGTCAAAGTGATTGTTGAAAGGTGGTCAATTTGTGCCGAACATGAGGAGGAGGTGGAGCACGAGCAAACCAAATTTCCGGACGGAAGTCGGAACACGGCGAAAATCACGAAGGTGTTACGTCTAGGCTCAGTCGGCATCCCCACGTTTGGCGCGGGTTGAAAGCCGAAACCGGCACTTCCGGTGTCCATCGTCTCCGCAACGAGCTCCACCAGCTTTCCACCATATCCTCGCTCGTACTCCAACCAGCCACGAGCACTTTCGGCACATCGCTCTTCAAATAGTGCAGAATTGTCTAGAGCAGCATTCTTGTCGGCTAGCACAATGTCTGGCCTCTTGCGATCGAGTTCCCGGTCGTCCAGGTCCAGGACATCCGCATCGAAGGAGGACGCCGAACCGCTCTTCGTCGACCCATCCCACGATGCCACATTTCTGTCTCTCAAGAAGCTGCTCTCTGCCCCGACCACAAGCACACAGCACCTGAGCCTCCTCTCGGAGAGCACTCTATACGGCAGCATCACATACTATCTCAGCAAGCTCGAGCTCGACCACGTCGCCGAGTTCGCGGGCGTCATCAGCTCCAGCGGATGCCTCTGGACCCCACCGCCCCCTGCAGGTCAGCCTCCCACCGCAGCTTCTGGGAAGGCTCCTACTCCCTCCTCGAACAGCGCATCCAAAGTCACATGGACCACGGAACCTGGCTCGCCATCAAATTCTAGCACCGGCGCCGCGAACGAGCGCAACTCGGCCCTTACCCCAAAGCCAGCGTCGCAAAGCTCGCTGAGCGCGTTTTTGATTTCACGCTCCACCAGCATATCGCAAGCTGTCGCAGCAGCTCTGACCAAGCGCGTCGATCTCATCGTCCGTTCCAAGAAGAACTCCACCGGTTGGGCATCCAGCACGGCCCTGTCGCAGTACCTAAGTGCTATCGTCAAAGGGATGGACGAAACCGAGATCAATGGAACTCCCGAATCGTACCGAGCAGCCAAGGGTCTCCCCATCCCTCGCTTCGCCGTAACTGGCGGTCTCCTCAACGCTCTTCACGTACTCAAGGATCAGCGTCGACGCACGCGCGACATGTCCATCCTCGAGGAGATGGCCGCTGTTCGGGCCAATCCTTCGCTCGGTCTCAGCGTGCGTCGCCATCTGAACACCATCGAGGATGAGTGGATCGTTGCTCTTGCCGAAATCCTCGATCATCTCCACGGACCCACGACATCCGCAGCTCTTGGTGGCGGTGAGATCGTCCCCAGCGAAGCAAAGACGGACGCCACTAGTGACGAGGATCAGGGCGTAGACGACTGGGAGGTCGAATTCCGAAAACGCACCGCAGAGGTTGCCGGACCTGCTGGCATCACCGCACTTGCCTCAAAGCGGGCTCTGCGTGCCGGTCTGCGCGACGTTCGCGACGTTCCACTCTACATGGCCGCGCAGCTTGCACCTTTCGTGCCCGACCGAAAGATCCATGCGCTCGACCCAGTGCAACTCGCCTCGGCGACGAGCGATGCCATCTTGTCCCTCTTTGAAGGTGCTGATGGTTCGACCTTCCTGTCTGATCTTGCTCAGGATGTAAGCAGTGCGGAGAACGGCGACCAGGAAGCCAGTCAAATCCACTTGACCCCCGACGGCAGCACCGCGAGGTCCGTCCAGCATGTCGTTGACTCGACGCTTTTCTCCGTGCTGGGACCTCTATCGAAGCTCATGTCGCGGGCGCTTGCCAAAGCTGTCACCTCCCTTACGCCCGCACAGCTCTCGTCGATGCTCCTCGGAACGTCGGATGCAGCATTGGAGCCGCAGACTGGCGAGGTGGAATTTTTCCCGGTGCTTGTGCGCATGTCGCGCCTCTCATCGCGTTTGGAAGCAGCCTGGCTCTCGAGCCCGCTCGCGGGCGCAGACGAGGCTCAGATCGCCGAGACGAGCCGACAGCTCACCAAACAGATGTGGACCGTGTTCAAAACGCTCCTCTTCAGCTACACCATGGTCTTTGATTCCATGATGGACGCGCTCGTCGACATGTGCCCCAGCCCGACTCTCACCATCCCGCCCGCGCTTGAACCTGAGCCCGAGGAAGGTGCGGGCATCGCGTTGCAGGGCCACCAACGAAAATGGCCTCGCGCATCGACATCGAATCTGCCCGCACCTTATCTGCTGCTCGTTCAGCTCATGCTGGCAACATTTTCGCATCTCTACTGGATCACTAGCACTTTCGGCGCGGACGGCTTTGACGTCTACCGCAAGGTCTTCTATTCCGCACTCGACATCCTCGGTCGAGACGGCGAGGCGTGCATCCAGCTGCTGGAGCTCATCGCGCCCGTGTCGCCCGATCCGACCGATCCCTCCACCTCGACGGACGGTCTGGAGATGAATGCATCCAAACGAAGTTCCACTACCTACTTCCTCAACGTTGCGGAGCAGCTGATCGCCGTTCTTCCGGACGAAGTGGTCGAACAGCTCATCCTGCCCATCTGCCGTCCGTACCTGGAGAACACTCGCTTCAGCGACACGTTCGAGTCGGCCCACTCGGTGGTGCTGGCGCTCTACTCGAACCACAAGCGATGCATCCTCAATCTGGCGCCTTTCTACGTGGAGTTGCTCATCGCAAGCTATCCGAAGCGTCTCACGTCGGTGCAGCTGGAATACGCCATGTCCACCGTCGTCTCCGCCATCAGCGATCGCAGCGACTCCGTCGCATGGTGGGTCATCACGAAGCTCGCCGATGAGATCGACAGGGAGCGCATGGGAGCTGCATCGTCTTCATCCGATGGCGACTCTCGCAAGGAACAGATTCAAGCTGGCGGATACGCCGAGTCGAACGGAGCGACGAAGCAGGATGTAGCAGATGCTACCGCGGGCAGCGCTTCGTCCCACCCTTCCTCGATCAATTCCACCGCCCTTGCCGGTGACGACGCTGAAGCCAGTGTTGACACGTACGACCGCTTGACGCACTTGCAGATGTGCCTGATCAGCTGCATTCCGAGCGTCAACCTCGTGCTGCTCCGATCCGCCCTCAAGAAGGTGGAGACGTATATTGCGCAACAAAAGCAGCAGGAAGAGGGACACGGCTCGGAGACAGCCCTCTCGGCGTCCGCCGAGGGATCGACCGGAGGCAGCCGATCGGCCTTGTGCCAAAAGACGTTTGACGCAATCCAGGCGCTCAACGCAGCCACAAGGGAGGAGGGACTCCGATGGTGGCTCGACAACAGGGTCCAATTCGGCGTGTAGCATGATCTAATTGCGTACTCGGCACCTCGATCAATGAATCACGACAGATGCATGCCAGTGACAGACTCCGATTCCGAGCGTGTCATCCTGAAAGCAGGCCGCGAAAGAGCGGAAGTGGTGGTCATCGGAGACTTGACTGTTTCGGCATTCGCTGAATCCGCACTCACTGTCCGCGTGTGTCTGCACTCGATCGTGTCACACTGAGAGCAATCAACGAGCGGTTTCCGGCTCTTGCACCAGCCTCGGGTCTCTTTCCTAAGTGAGAGGCACGGTGACTTTCCCAGCGCGGAACCTTGCAGCCCTCGGCCGCTCCCAATGGTCCGCACATGGAAGGACCGCCGACCACAAAGGGAAGGCGACCCGAGGTAGCGACACAAGCCGGAATGATGCAACTCTCGCTCGCATTGCTACACGATCCGCCCCTTTGATCAAAGACAAAGCGGCGAGAAGAAGAAAGCACATTGCATTTCGAACAAAGATCGCGCTAGGCCGGCGGATGCCTGAAGGGGGAGCATGGAGTGAAGTAGAGCGCATTGCGTCAAATCAAAGATGCCAGTCCACGAGGAGCTCTTGATTTGTGTCGCTTGATCATGCCTCTGGGCTGTTGGAGTCCGGCTTCTACCCGAGTTTTACCGGGACGACATCGCCTGGCTGCCCGAAGCCGATCGCGATCCTTCGCTGATAGAGTCCGAGCCGCTCTGGTATGGCTCGACACTCAATAGTATCGACAATCGACACGAGCTCGGTGGACGAAGTTGAGATGTCACAGCGACGAAGTCATTCCCAAAAAACCTAAACCACTCTCGCGCCCAGCGCATAGAAGACGGGAGCCAACGGCATGCACATCTGACGATGGAGAGTGAGTAGCCGTCCAGGACCGGCCATCTTCAGGTCCATTGCCGAGATGTAAATCTCCGGCATGAACACGTCGGTCGCCGCGGACGAGAGAGACAGCCTCCACTTGCATGGGGTGTGGAGGATTTCGGCGGCTTTTTTGGGTTCATGCATGAAGAAGTTTGTTCGCGTGTCGTTTGACATCATCCTCCGGCATGGCCCTCCACCTGAGCGCTGCCCGGACGGCAAGTCTCCGATCTCGAAGGGAGCCTCCACGTCTGCAGTCCAACCGCCTTTGTTCTTGCATGTGGAGCAGTCTGGTACAGACCAAGCGTATGCCGCAGGACGAGATGCTGGAAGCGAGCACTACGAATTGC